TTTATAGTGTGTGCAGGTCCAGGTTCAGTTCAGGTTTCTGTAAGTGGACCTGAAGGTAGAGTTTGGTAGGTGAACTGTCAGGCGCAGTGGCCCGTGGACATGGGATGGACTCAAGTGCAGATTCAAAACCGGAGGCCAGGGGTGAGGTGTAACGAAAAGAGATTTTATTTTACAATGCTCAGAGGCTAACAGAAAGTGCAGACTAGAATCAATGAACATAAACTAGATGTCTGAGGCGAGAGAAAAATACTGTGATGATAACTAGATGGCAGGGATAACTGGGTGCAGGTACTGGGCAGGGGAAACTGTGGCGGGCCAGGGCACTGAAACAGAGGACAGAGCAGTCAGGGGAATCCCACAGAGGGTTGCGAGTGAATCTAAGGATAGTACACTGAGCTGTCTTACAAGCTTGCAGGTGGGGGTTGCGTGGAGGGGGGAGGCAGGAGAGGTCCAGGTGGGTGCTGCATGCAATGCAGGGAGGCAGGCAGGAGAGAATGGCAGCTCCAAAACGGAGAGGGATTACCGGCGGCAGCAAACTGGTATCCAGGAGAGCTTGGTAGGTGGGTTTCAGAGGCTGACGAGAAAAACAGAGATACGGTTAATACACACGATGAGTCACCAAGGAACGGACGTGAGGCCGAGAAATGACTAAAGTTGGCAGATAATCTGGTGAAGACCAGTTGAGTGCACCGGTCATAAATACTGCTGGTACGATTGCCATCAGGTGAGGAACAACAAAGACTCCACCCAGTGGGGAGGAGCCGATGCTGTGGAAAACCACCCAGACCACGACATGAACAGTAAATCCTCACGTGTGCATTTCCGGTTTTGCAGGAAAAGGACAAAAATCTCACAGCAAAGGAAATTTGTCACAGAAAGCACAGAAGCTTTTCACAGTAGTTGTGTGTATGTGCTGATGTGAAAGTGAGATCTTCTTGCAAAAAATGAAATAAAATAATAATGCTAAAAGATTTAGTAATGACTTTTTCTGTGTCCACTCACAAGGTAAACAAGTTTAGGTTACATTACATGTTTGGATATGCACAGATCAAGAATCACGTGTGTGAAAATGACTTGGGACTGTTTGCAAATACAGCAAGGTTCAATTATTCAGAAAACAAGAAAGAAATACAAGAAAATGACACGGAATAATACTTGTTAACACCCTGCATTTCCTTTCTTTTGTAGGAACGGTTCACGGATGACTGTAAGTTCAGGGAACGTTTCCAGGAGAACAGCTACAACACTTATGCCTCAGTAATCCACAGGAACCACAGGACAGGTCGCGAGTGGTTTGTGGCCCTTAATAAGAGGGGGAAAGCTAAAATGGGCTCCAGCCCCCGGGTCAAATCCCAACATGTCTCTACCCACTTCTTGCCCAGGGTCAGCATGCACGATAAGGGCGAGCAAGGCTTCACCATCACAGACAGGAGCAAAGAGAGGAGGAAAACCCCACTCCCACCACCTCCAAAGCCACCCGCGGCAAAGGCAAACATCCAAGCAGGAACCACACCGAGGCATACGCAAGTCAAGTACTGGCCCAAGTACAGGTTTGGATAGGTTTATAGAAATTGGACAAATGGACGTACCCCATAAACTGACAATGGTTATTTATCACATTCAAAGCATTCCAGGTATCTACAGACTGTGTGAAAAACCTCAAAGGGCTGACAGGTACAACTGCTGAGCTTTTCTTTTTTGAAGCTATGACAATAGCTGGATGCTGTGTTTGAGTTAACGATGCTCTGTCACGTTTTACGTCGTCATCCGTGTACATACCGATGAAGCTGAAATCCATAACATTAGAAATATTCTTGATGAGGAGTATTTGACAGAGAGACTTTCAGTTTGTTCTGCTGTCTTGCAAGAATAAGAATGATGCTCTTAATCTTGCAATAATGACACTACCCCCCCTGGCTAAACAAAAGCGATTTCGTTCAGGACCACTGGTGGATAGGAGATTATTTCTGTCTGCAGTAATGTATTTTTGGTCACGTGCTTCTGTTCTAGACTGCCCCACCCATCCATGTGTCCAGGTGGAAAGCATAAGGCAATGTTGCCTGCCTCCTCATCTTTCTATGTTCATATATGGAAAGCTAGAAGTAAGGGAGGACAGTACCAAGAACCCTCCACACAGAACAGCAATGACAACTGATCTGAGATTCACTGAGTCAGATGTGACTTGAAAGGAAAAGCTGAGGCTGCGAACTGATCTGCCAGTATCGCAGCTTGACAACATGCTATGACTGATTGACTCGAGTGAGGACTACATAGTTATTTTGTTTTGTTTTGTTAAATGATAAATAAAATGATGATCAAATGAAGCTGGCGAAACACCATTGTGACTTTTCAGTCATACATTCTTTGTATGGGGGCCTTTTATTCTTCTAATAAAACATGTCATTTCAGAGGAAAATCATTTAAAATTTGCAATTATTTTATGAAATTATGTTGCGTCTAATTTCATTAGGCCAAAAAACGTATCTCAAAGTCCGATCTGAAAAAGTAACGTTTTATATTATGTCTAAAATTAGCAGGGAGGTGACACATCTAAAGCAGATAATGGATTTCAGCTTTAAACACTAAAAAATAATGAGGTCATGAATATTTTCATGTTGGTTAAGTCACACATGCTGTGATCACTTTTTGATGTAATCTGTATTTTCAAGCCACTTTTTGAGATATAACAATGTCTCTCAGTGATTCAGCCTGAACATACACACCGGCCAACTTTTTAGGAACACCAGATTTGTGATAATGAGCAAGAAAACGTGGACTGGCTCTCTGGAGGCTCCTCTTTTTTCTTGGACAGCTGTGAGGGATCATGGAGAAAACTGTCCATCAAAACTATCATTTTAGCAACCGGCTGTCCCCCCAAAAAATCCAGAGTCACGACCTCCCAGCATTCCACCCAGGAGGAGCGCACACCGCCGTCACCACAGGGATAAAGATGCCAAGAAAGAGCCGCCGCTTGTGTAGAGGAAGGTTCAAGCTGTAGGTGTATCAGATGGCAATGACCTCATAGGAGCACCGGGACATCTCAGGGGAAAAAGAAAAGCTTGGTGGCGAGGAACGCAGAATGTCTCAGAGTTTGGTTTAAAAATCAAATATTGTCTTTAATGTAATTGTTTGACTTATTGGAGACGGCTGCACATTTTATAAAACACTTGTTTGAAATCAGTGTCATGAATTTACTCCACTGGCAAAAAAAAATGCATATTAATCTATGACGAAACTATTTGAGCACACAGCAGTGAGTGCAAACGATTTAAACGCGTATCAGAACGCTCTATATTTAGTTTGCACTTTTTGTAGCTTGCCATCACCCAGTGTGTGAATGTGTGTGTGAATGGGTGGATGACTGGATATGTAAAGCGCTTTGGGGTCCTTAGGGACTAGAAAAGCGCTATATAAATACAGGCCATTTACATAAGATTGTCTCATCTTACGTTATGAAGCCACCCTGTCTCACAGAAAAAAGAAATATTTCTATTTGTTTGCGTACATGGAGGTTTTTGGTTTACAAAACTTCAAACTAACGTATTTCAATTGTAGGAAAGTTTTATGCCTACAGTAATGTTTTTTTAATGTGTGAGACACCTCGGACAGCGGCAGCAGTTTTATTATAACCCAAACAATGAAGTAGTTTTATTTCATACGCCAAACCAAAGAAATCACATTCAGCACTCCTGCCACCAAACAGAGATTTTTTTGGCCGTTACACCTAAAAAAAACTACATTTACCCAGATATGAGTGAAGGTTGATAAATAAACAAACTGTAATTAAGTAGGTGAGAAAACAGGATGAAATTTGTGTCCATAAACAGAATTCTATATATTATTTTAGGCACTGCTGTGAGTCTCTTGACTGTATCTTCAAAACATGATCAGGTCAGTGTCAAACTCACACTTACATCCTTCAGAGCTGTATAATAATTTAAATGTGCTGTATTATATTGTTGTAATCGTAAGCATTACCAAATTATCATTTTGCATCCTGAACCACATCCATCCTCGGTTTTACCAATTACAATTGAACACACATTGTTGGTGAACATGGCAACAGAATATGAACACGATCATAGAGGAGAAGTAAAAAATATGTAGCTTCATATGTTAAAGTTATTACACCGGTTATTACAGTGGAATAAAGCCATTGTAGCCCAGTGTTAGCCAGTGTTTCTGTTGATGTTCAGCTGTACAACTGATGTTTCTCATGAAAAGCATGTAGCACATGAATGAAGCATTTTCCACACTGTATTTATGCAGATGGCAATCTGTAGTTTCTTGATGCTGTGTGTCTTGTTACAATGCTCTGTGTTGCCACTGCGTTGTGTGATCGCATCCCAGAGCAATATTTTTTCTACCAGATTGTTTTTTTCATAAAAATGTATGTACGACAAAAATCTTTATGTAATAATACCATTAAAAATATATATCAACATGTATATGTTTTTTAATTGCATTAAGTGGGAAAATGCAGAAAGTGGTTAAACATGCTGATTTGAAGGTTCAGAGAGAAGGCTCTATCTAATTTGTGTGTTAAAGTTAGATATCTGCGGTAAAATATGGGAGTGTAGTATATTTCACTTAAGTCCTAATGAGGTCACCAATCTGTCACAGCAAAAGTCTGTGGCTGACTAATGAAAGACAGGTGTGTGTGTGTGCTGACAGGTCTGTGCTGGCTGACGTTCTCCAAATCCTCTGAGGTCATGACAGATTTTACTTTAGTCTAAAACAGGCCTGAGCGCTGATTACTTACCAACAATCTTCCTGTCCTTTCAGATATGAACACCAGTGGGATCCCTCCTCCCACTCTAATGATCCAACATTTGACCTCATTCACATTTTGTGCCACTCTATCACTAAAAGAGAATTTTTCTCAAATCTTGCTGTCTTCTGTGAAGAGGTATGAGGCCAAAGGTCAGGCACAGTGCTAAAGTTTAAAGATCATGATGCTGTCCATGCTGTATAACGTGGTTATTATCAATTTTATTTCAAATCTTTAATCAAAATCTGAAAAATGCCTGTTGTGTTCTGGCCAGCAGTAGATGCTGGCCAGTTACAGCTTTGTGGGTAAAGTAACAAAACACAGATTTATATTTCAAAATTAAGATTCACATCAAACTAAGATACATTTTGGGCAATCTGTACAAAGCAAGCTATATTATTTGTGAGCTGCTGCCCTTAAAAACCATCCATGCTCTGCATTTGGAGCTGTAACTCACTCCCAACCTTTGGAGTGGGCACTCCACTCTTTTCCACCTGAGAACCATGGCCTCAGACTTGGAGCTGCTATTTCTCATCCCAGCTGGTTCAGACTTCGCTGCAAACTGCCCCTGTACAAGGTAGAAGCAGTCATTTAATAAAACCAGCAGAATGATCTCATCTGCATGTAGCGGAGATGAGATTCTGAGACCACCAAACCCAACACCTTCCACCACCTCTATCCAGAAAAAGGTTCAACGAAATCAGTGACAATCAGTTTGACTTATTACTGGAAATGCAAACTAATCTCTCACTACGACTACACACAGTCACCAAGCAGCCCAACTGCCCAATACCCAATACACATGAGCTGCAGCCCCCAGATGCAGGCAAATGCCTTCTCCAAGTTCAAGGCAGGATTTATGTAGAACTTGGAGTATCAACATGGGTGAGTTATAAAAAGAATCCCAAATACAGTTGTTATGAAGATGGAAATTATTTATCGAGGCCCCAAAAGGTTGATTCTGTACACTTTGGCTGCCATGATTCAAATTATGGTTTAAATGCCACAGCTATGGCCTGCTCTTTAATATTGCTGATCATGTCTTCCTGCCAACACTTTGATGAATCCAAGACATCAGGAACTGAAACTTGTTTATGAGCAAAAAAAAGGTTCTACTAAGTATTTGATGCTTCTAAAAATAAAGTACTTGGTGAGTGTATTTTATCAAGCTCACCAAAGTGTAGAAAAAATAACTGTACATCACAGAATAAGAACAGCAGAAGTTTCACATTTATTATTTAAAATAGTGTTAATAATTAAATAGGGTTTATTTCTAAGTAAGAAAACACTCTATGACCTCAGAAATGAGAAGCAGCTTGCGTGACAAAGCTAATCTAGAAGGTTGTTAAAGCTCTCCTCCTTTGCTCACTAACCCACTGTGCCTCTGCTGCCTTTTGTCTTATTTGTCTGTGTGCATACGTGCATATAGGTCATATGTTACAGGGCTGCTGTAGGAGAGACCATTCATAAGAAAATTTTTGATCGTTACTTCACTTTCCATGGACGTCACTGCAGAGCTATTAAAATTCACGCTGGATGGCAAAATTAAACAAAATGATAATAAAAATGATAATAACAGCCAAGAGTCACAGTATTTCTGCACATGAAGCTGAGAAAATACCCACTGAAGGTTTTCGTCTCTATTTTATAGTCAGAAAAGGTGCCAAATTGTGTAGATTTGCCAGGATTTAGGGACTGACATCACGAGACAGGATAATTTGTCGTGTGAGACACTATTCTACTTTTATGCGTCAACTGAGCTCACATTAGTTTAAAATAGAAAAACGGTGTTACTGAGGACCTGCAGGAGCTTCTCTGATGGGATGTAGATATAGATGGGATATTATCGCAGGTCACAGGTCACAATATGATCAAAAACAAAGCTATGCATTTCATCTTAGGCAGGATGTATCATAGACCCATCTCATTTCTTTGTGTCTAGGCTGAAATAAAGCCACTGAAAACTCAACATTCGTAAAAAAAATTTTTTGAAGAAAGACAGTAAGACACAGTCTGAAATAAGGCTACAGTAGAATGTAGTTACAAAAGCAACATCTTAAAGCTTCGCCACAGCCACAGTTAAACAAAGCTACACAGTTCACACTTCCAACACTTTTTTTTCTGCGGTGGGCGTTAGATTTTCACCCAAGACCCGAGAAGAAGAATGAGACTCTTCCCAAACTGGTAGGCTATATTTTTCACAAGGAGCAGAAAAGACCTGTGACACAACAACAAAAAAATTCTGCAACAAACATTTTAGGAGCTCAGTTTACATTGCTACCTGCTCAGGGTTTCGGGGTTCTCTTCGGTTCCTCAGCTGCTGTTGACCGAGAGTAACAGCTTCTGCAGTAAAACTGTACAGTCCATGCTTATATACATACATCCAAATCTCTTTAACACGTACGCTATTACAACAAAAGCTTCTCACAGGGGAAATAAATACCCAGACAAACTTTCTTTCTTTTTTTTTCTGTTTTTGAAAAAGTGAGCTGGCGACTGTCCAGAGTGTATCTTTGCACCTTTTGTCCAACTCAGCCAGGATAGGCTTGAGACCCCTAACTAACTACATAAGAAAACAATGGATGGTCCTCTATTGTTGGTGCTTTGTTTCACAAATGACACAACAGTCTATGCAGTTACTTTTTCCTGAAGACAGACTGTTGATGAGCTTCAGACTGTTTTTCAAGAGCTGCAAGCTTCACTGTATGGTCTCAATTGAAAGTACATCCAAAAATTAATTGGGTATCTGGGTGTATAATGTGCTCTCTTAGAGTGTATTGAGGGCATCTAGGAGGTTTAGGAAGTCTAGGTTCAAAAATGTTCCACACTATAAGATGATAGTTTGGACAAAAGCTGCTTCCTCTGCATTATCTACCAACTCTATCATATTATATCCAATTAGCTGTCCAGTGTGCACTTTAAAATCTGGTTTCCAGGCCCTTAGGTGACAGGTAAGCCTATATTTTTATTCCTTTTTATCTATGGAATGTCCTATGATCCAATAAATCAGGAGATGCTGGTTTGCATCCTATGTGGACCATTTTTTAATTGTAATTTTTTGTCTTTTATTTTATTAATTATTTTATTTTATATTATAATATATATAATATATAATTTAACAGTTATAACAATTAGAAAAAAATATAAATATTTTATAGTTATATATAATCACATTTTATTTCTATAAATATTTTAGGTGTATTTAAATTAAACTGTGTAACACAATGCTCTTTATTTCTACCACTAAAATAAAAAATATAAATGACTGGAACCCGCCTTCCTTACCTCACAGGTGAATTCTGTGCGTCGTTACAGGGCAGCTGCTTCTCCCGCCTGTTCACAGCTAAAATCATTACTTGTGTGTTTTGCTATCTTTTCTGAAGGAATTGTATTTTTCTTGGACGGTTCTTGTTATAAAAATGATCTCAAAGAATTCCGGTTTACATAAAGGTTAAACGTGATGTCGTCAACTTCCGCTTCCTGTCTGATGAGAAGCCGGTAAGGCGGTTGCCATAGCAGCGTTTTCCAATACTCACGAGCGCACACGCACACAGAAGATGGAGTACAGCAAATTCAGCCGTTTTCACGATTCTCTAACACAGTTTAAATGTTACGAGGATTACCTGGACTCAAAAGTCACGCCACTGGATCTGTTTTACTTTAAAGTGAGTGAAAAGTACAACTTTTATAAGCACTTTTATCCTACCTATCACTCCTTACACCCCGCTATTTTGTGGCATTGCGCCTCAGAGCCGCACTGACTGCACTACAATTTCTTCATCAATCTACAGCAGTGAATTTTATTAAAAAATAACCATAGTCTCTCCAAAATTACCAGGACTCCTTCAATTCGCCACGTATAAAACCTGCCTTCATTAGCTTGCTAGCACATCACCTGCTTCTGGTACGTTAGCCTCTTGGTATGTTGCTCATCTAATGTCGCTCCGGTGTGCAAAGCAAGAAAATAAATTTTACACGCTTTATGCAAATATTGGCCATTTTTAGCTACGTACTATCCCGACATTAAAAATATACTCTTAAAAATATGAAAATAACTTCATGGGTGTTTTACAAGGTGTTTACCTGTTTACCTGTGATCAACCAAACATAGTTGACAAACACTTGTCTGACTTGTGGCATATACTATACATCAAGTGTTATTTTCATCGACAGTAAATATCGTTTTAAGTTAATATCTGTTTGTTACTGCTCTCTGTTATTTTTTCTGCATTGGACTTAGTTCGCTTGTTTCATTAAAAGCAGATTTGACTTGTTGGTGTAATTTCAGTAGTTCAACGCTAGGTGGTAGTCATACCAAGGTTTAGAATAAAACCAGTAACTCTTTATATTCAGTCTGTGGTTTAAACTCTGAATTTAACAAGCAGCTATCATCACTCCAGTCTGCTTGGTTCATGCGATAAAGTAGAGAAACAGTTACTCGTATCACATGGCAGTCGTACCGTTTCAAAGCCACACAGACAGTACAACGGGCTGTATTACATTTTGTTGTTGTTGTTATTGTTGTGTTGTGCTCGCTATAGACCACAGATTATTTGCACAAGTAGCACTATTGTATATGAAATTATAATCCATCCATCCATTATCTTCCGCTAAGGTTAGGGTTAGTTATTTTCATATGTTTTTCAGGGATGAACGAAAGACTTAGGAGAAGTAGCTTTCAGGCTGTATATTATCAAACATATGTCTTTAAAAGGCCCTAAATCGCATTTGTTCTTTCTTTCATGTTGGTCTCTTAAGTTTTTCGAGCCACGTATTCTGCTAAATAAGTTGAAAATGAACCTGCCCTTTAGAAATCAGCAGTCCTGCATCCGTCCAGCAGATAGCGCCCATGCTAATGAGTTATGTGTCTGCTGCGGAATTGTTTGAACACCTGTGTCCACATTGAGAGAACAACGCCTATCTGACCTGATAATCAGCTGCAGTCAATCATTCAGATTCTTCCCTGTGTTGTGACACAGCACACTCAGCCCAGGTCATCTGGCATGTGTAGTTGTGTTGAAAAGGGCCAAATCTGGATAAATCCACTAATTATGAACCCATTTATCACAGATCATGTTATTCCGGTCTTCTCTCTGAAATGCCGTATATTACAAAGGGATTTCCACCTTAGCTGATTAGTGTAGATCCTGGTGTGTTCGCTCAAATCATCTGTTTGAGTGGATTTTCAGGCCAATTTTAGGACCAGCAAAGGTCTGAGACTCATTTCTGGTCAGCCACATCAAAGCTGAAGGAAAATATAACTTTTCCTCTTGGGTGCGGACACAGGCCCGGCTGCTGGGATTTTGGGTATGAGGACATGTGGCAGAAGCTTTGATCTAACAAGCCACTGGGTTTGACGGCGAGATTTGGTTTTTAGATGATGACTTTATGGCTTTGCTTTAATGACAGCAGGTTTGCAAGTGACGATCGGAATAATGTAGCTAAAAATCCCTGCTGACATACATTAATGCTCACACTTACAACAGAAATAGATCTGGAAATAGGAATGAAATCATCCTGAACCCATAAAACTAAAAATGTGGTGGTGTCGGAGAGCAGGTCATCGCTTCCATACTTTTAGGCAGGGCAGTGAAATGACACCTTTCAATCGAAAGACAAGCGTGACAAGTAAATCCTAAAAACCAGCTGAGAAAATTTCAAGTTTTATCTGTCAGTACTCTTGTGGTGATTAGTGAGTTGAGAGGCCACAATTTGTAAATTCGGCACTGCAAACGTCTGACAATATCCAGCCTTGACTGTAAAGCATGCTCCCTCTTCTTCACTGATTCTTCTTCTGTTCTCATCTCAAGCAGAAGGAGTTGGCCCTTAAGCTGGTGGAACACGGCCACAGGGGCACGGTCCTGAGCAGGGAGGAATTTGAGGAGAGGAAAGCAGCTGTGCAGGCTGCAGAGGCTGCAAAGAGCAACGCTTTCTACGACAGGAGCCGGCCAGTGTGAGTTAACTTCTCACTGACCCCACTGTGCTGTCTGAGGTGTTGTCCTTACGACTGACCAGGAGAGACAGATTCACACAAAGCACCAGTTAAATGCTAGAAGAGGTTGGGTTATATTTGGAAAATTAAATGAGGCTGTTTACAGTCCGAATGTGGTCAGAGGATTTTAAAATCAGTCACAGTGGAAAGGGGAAAAAAAAGTTACTGTTCTGTAGTTCATTATATTCACTTCTCATTTAGTGTGAAAGAATAATATTTTAGTTGAGTGATCCTCAGTCTCTTCCTTGGGTCTTTTTCTGTAGTTGCGGTTGAAGCCAGGGGGCTCCCCGTGAATCAGTTTCTGTGCTTGAGCTGTTTCCATTCCTAACCAGATCTTATATCCCGAGCCATATTTTTGTCAAAGTACCAACTTTTCTGTGTAAACAGTGTCACAGCTCACGTCAAGCAAATTTATTTGTCTTTACTGTTGGGGTGTTTCACATCGTTTCAGATTTGCAGGGGTGCATAATGAGAAGGAAAACCTAAGCTCCATCTGGTGGACTTTGATCCCTTGTTAAAGCAATAATATGTAACTATTTTCTTTTTAAAATAACAACTTCAAAATCATTTTGATGGTACACTGACTTGTAATAGGGCGAGCGGCTTCTCTTTCAACGCCTGCTCTGGCAGTATGTAACGTGGGTGAGTGGGTACAAACCTCCGAGAGAACTGTGTTGCCAAGAACACTGAGAGCGGAGCTCAGCAGATCAGCTACCGAAGACACGGTGCCCAGCAGCAGACGACTGGTGGAACAAGAGGAAGCGGCGTGCAAGAAAGCTTTAGAGGGGTAAACTGATCGGGCTTCTATAGAAGTTTAAGATTAGCGCAACCAGGTTAGCTAATCCTGTGTTTGTTCCAGCCAAATTTTGTTCACTGTATAATAAATTATACCCGCTCCAGCTAAGATTAAACACACAAAAGGAAACAAGGAGCTATTTAGCTTTCTAATGACCAAAGCTTGGCTCAATAACAACTTGCCGGACTCAGCATTTTAGCTTGATTCGTCTTTTTCAAGACTTGAAGTCTGGGAAAAACAGATGATGGCGGGTCTGCACATGTAGGTTGGTGCAAGAACTGCGCTGTGATTAACAACTGTTCAGTAGTAGAGAAATATATTACAGTCAAATACCCACCGCTGTGTCTTGTTTGATGTTTGGCTGCGTTAGCAAAGTCAGGCTGTACTCCAGTGTATGAACAGGGATTATTTATTATATATACTGTTTTTTTTTTCTTTTTTCTTAGACATAAGCTCCATCTGTTGGGTTAGCTTACTGTTGTTTTTACACATATCTTGACAGATACGGTAGTAGAATTAAAACTTCCACAAGGAAAGAGCTTTTTAAAACCTTATGTTGGCACCAAACCTTTAGTTTTTTAATTTTGGGCCGATCGTGGCTCAAGAGTTGGCAGTTCGCCTTGTAATCGGAAGGTTGCCTGTTCGAGCCCCGGCTCCAACAGTCTTGGTCGTTGTGTCCTTGGGCAAGACACTTCACCTGTTGCCTACTGGTGGTGGTCAGTGGCGCCAGTGTCCGGCAGCCTTGCCTCTGTCAGTGTGCCCCAGGGTGGCTGTGGCTACAATGTAGCTTGCCATTACCAGTGTGTGAATGGGTGGATGACTGAATGTGTAAAGCGCTATACAAATACAGGCCATTTACCATTTAATACGAACCATAAGTAACCGAATAAAGGTCATGTTTTTATTAAGGCTTTAAACCAGACATTAATTTAGGTGATGTCAAAGTGGCTTTGTCCATCCATGGTGTCTCTGGCTGGATCCATTCTACCCTTGTTCAACATATATTTTGGCTAAACCACCAAGGCACAGCATCCATGGCAGCAGACATCTACACATTCACCAGTAAGTTCTGCTTAACACCAACAACAGGTGGAGCTTTTAGACTGTTACTGAGCAAAACTCTAAAAACAAAACAAAGTACTGTAGCTCTCAGCAATTTTGTTTGTGGCAGATGATGGTTGTCAGTATTTCGAACCTCACCAGTCTGACTGGGTGTTCATCAGTATAAAGCTACTTGCATTTAATCACACTGTGTATTCATGCAGTAGTGTTCAGAAGGAAAGTACCAGTTTGTTTTTCTCAAATGATGGAGATGGTGTGCAGGTACAATTACACATGAGGACACAAGTATTTGCCCCTCACTATTAATAATAAATGTTTGTCCTTCTTTAACAGAGCAAGAGATTTTTAACATAGCACTTTGAAACATACTTTCTTTAGAAAGCATCAATTATTTCTGTTATTTCTGATTGATTTCAGACAAAAAAAATACCAGGGCCAATGTTATAAGGGATCGTTAGCTATTTTTAGCCATAGCACAAACCGCTGGCATGCAATGATATTCTTTAATTTTGCAATGCTCTAATCTATAAAATCAAGTTAAGACTAAGGGATTTTTTTTCTCCAATTTACGTAGTATCAAAACTTCAGCAAGAGTTTGAGATGTCACTTGAGAAAGCATCATGTTAAACACAAACGAAATCAGCAGAAAATGCATATACAAACTTATCACAGTGTTTTCAAGTGTCAAGAACTGAAGCGAGAAGTATAATCAGAAATTCAAAGAGAGCCACACAGTGCAGCACCAGTCTGGCAGAGGTAGGAAGCAAAGATTTGAACGACTGGGGGAAAAAAGTGAGAGATGTGTCTAAAGACCCAAGAACATCTGCCAAGACACTAAATTACTTAGCCAAGTTGTAAATTGTAGTCTCAAAGGAGACAATCATTGGCACCCTGCACAGTAAAAAAAAACAAAACAACTCCACTTCTGCAAAAGAGATGCCTTCAAGCCAGACTGAAGTATGCTAAGGACAACCTGAAGACAGATTATATATACTGGAAGTCTGTCCTTTGGTCAGATGAGGTGAAACTAGAGCTCTTTGACCCCAGAGACAATGTTTACATTTGGAGAAAGAAGGAAGAGATGTACAACCCAAAGGACACCATCCTCACAGTGAAACGCTGTAGAGATGCTCAAGTGTGCCTGGAACACCTTGAATTCTGTCAGGGTGGAAGGAATCGTGAAGAAAGAAGGATTCTGAAAGAAAAACTCAAGCAGTCAGTAGCAAAACTGGCTCTGGGTCATTTCTTTATCCTCCAACACAACAGTGAGAATGTCACTCCCTCCAGAAGACCAAAGTTAAAGTTACTGACCGGCTTGCACAAAGCCCTGATTTAAATCCCATTGCAAATTTGTGGGGTGAACTGAAGACCAAGGTCCATGCCAGAAGATCATCAAATGTTGAGGAGCTTGAGAGATTTGCCAAAGAAGAATGGATTTGCTCAGGAGGCGTGTTTGAGAGACTTGTCGAAAACTGCAATAAATGACTGCAGGCTGTTATTCAACAAAAAGGATTCACACTTGAGTATAAGCATCAGGGGGGTAATAATTTTAACCCTGCTAATTCTTGGTTTTTCTGAAAAAGAAATCTTCATTGGGGGGCTAATAATTTTGTCCTCATCTGTAAAAAAAAAATACAAATGAAGCAAGCAGTAACTTGACTTTGTCTGATATCAACTGAAAAATTATTATGTTGACATAGACTTACTGTTTTTGAACCGCAACTGTATATGAGTCATGTTTTGTTTTGTTTTTTAATTTATGCATCATAGGTCACTATATCGTTTAGATTCTCCCTGTGGCTATGAGACACAATTTCTGTCTTCCTGAATGAACCATGTGTTGGAAAGGAAATGCATTTTTGGCAGAAGTTCTGCACTGTTAATAAAAGCCTGACAGGTTGTAAAATTAGATTTTTTTTCCTTATAGCTCTGATTTGCATGGCTGCATTTTTTTTAGCACTTTATATTATTTTAAAAAGACAGAGAAAATGAGACCAGCTCATCAACTTCACATCCTCTGACTTTTGTTTGAACAAGGTCTCCCTGTCTGTTTAAATTTAGATATAAAAAAGAATCTTAACAAAAATAAGCCAAAACTACAAACTGAAGTCCTCTATATACTGCCCGGGATAGTGATCACACAGATATTTGATAAAGCCAAGTGTTTGTGGTGTCTACTTTGATGACACACACACACACACACACACACACACACACACACACACACACACACACACACACACACACACACACGAGTATCCAAACATTTACCTGCTAGGTGTTGAATTTGATTGAACCCTCAGATGGTTATCCAAACGTGCAGATGTCTCGTCGTTCCCCCTCCCCATGGCCCCCTAAACATCAGTGACACTCGTGAAATGGGAGCCTCCACACCTGCAGTTACAGTGATATTAGGGCACAAAGCCTTTCATCTTGTCCCAACAGGATCCACGGAAATGTTGTACTGGAACATTGGGATGTTATACACACAGTAGTCTGTTCCCTTTCCAAGAGCTACATCCATGAAACCGTTTCCAAAGGCTGTGATCATATTTGTAAGCTCTTAACAGTGTTTGGACTACAGAATTGGATTCTTCACATTATCCAATCAGACCGATTTTAAATGAATACTCCAAGGACGATTGATCTTTGTAAAAGCTTTTGTTTTTAAGCGGCTCTGAGAGATTTCTAGCTTGCTTCTTCTTAGAGGACAGCAGCTGTTGTCAGCTTGGATTTACAACACTTAGAATGGATTATGTCCCATAGTCACCGTGGAAAAAAACCCATCTCCCTGTCCATGAAGTGTTCTTAAAGGATTCATTCAGCATAATCAGCTTCTCAGCTGTTGATTCATATGTTGACTGTGTTTCAAACAACTGTCTCTTCTTTCTTTTTTTTTTTGTAAGAGCTTTGAGAGCAAAAGGAGGCAAGGAGGAGCTTATATTGTAAAGTTGACCGTACTGTCACCCATTAGTTTGCTTGAAGGCTTGAGTCAGCAAGCCTTCTGCGTTTTGGCTATTGCCATCTTGTTTATTTTAAACCAGGTGTCACGTCAGAGTTGACATAAACTCATAAATTCAGCTGGAAAATGGTTACTGGGTAC